TGCTGACACCCAGTTCTGACAGCAGTGCATAGTTAGACGAGGTTTGGGGTGACCATTAGTGGGAATCCAATAAGTCAGGTGGCAGCAGGAACTGTCCTATTTATCTCTGCCATATCAGTGATAGTGATTGCAGGACCTTGGCCAAAGCCAGGCAAAGTTCCTCTCGGGACCCTCTTTGCTCTGTGTGCCTGGGGATCAGGAAACAGCTAGAGCCATGAAGTTGCTTAAGGCTCCCTCAGCACAATGCTGTGGGCAGGGCAGCAGCAGTGACTGTAGCATTCTCTCCTTGCCCTGTCAGAAGCAAGTCTCTGAGCACCAATGCAAGGGGAAGAAGTGGTGGGAACTGTGTGAGTTTCTGCCTAGGGTCTTGGCCCTGGTATGAGTCCATGTGCTGCTGGCCACACTCCAAGTCTCAGAGGACAAGCTCTCTAATCTGCTGGCTCAAGGGGAGCACCCTCCATGTTCCTCTGTGTTGCAACACCTGTTCCCTACAATGGAGGTCACCCAGTGGACTTAGATGACACTCACTTCTGCTGAGCCAAATTGGGCTCATGAGGCAACGACTCTAAAGGCAGTGCAGTGGAATGTCTGGTATCCCAGAGACAGGAACGTGAAAGTGTTTCTGACCCCTAGAGTGGCCCAGTACCTCACTTCTTAAGATGATCCTGGCAGCTCACTGGCTGGGAGATGTTGGGAAATTCTTTTACAAAGCAAGGCTACTGTGCAGATTTCAGGTTATTTATCTAAGTGGGCTGCAGGCCGGTGAGGTGAAACTCCAGTAGCTAAGATTGCCAGCATCCACACTGATAAGAGTTTCTCAGATTCTCTTTCACACTTACCCTACAAAGGGGAGACTCCCCTTCCCCAGTTGTGGAGACAAGATGGCAAATAAATACCAAGGTATTTTGCTTCTCTTAGTATGCCATTATCTCAAGCCTCTGAATCTTATAAGGTTCTGGTTTCTTTCTTCCTGATTTTTGGTGTTCTTCCATGGTTACTTACCCTAAAATGCAGCTATACACCTATTATTTGGGCTCTTCTTTGTGGAGGAGGAAGTGAGTGTTAGAAAGTGTTGGGTGTCTCTGTTTAGCTGCCTTGAATCCCCTCTTTCATTTTTTTAATATTTACGTATGTGTATACATTTTCAATCTGTTAAATTAATCATTAGTCATTTTCCTGAAAATTTTTTTTTCTGATTTTTCTGAAGTTCACTGAATTATTTTAAAACAATTATTTTGTATTATGTCAGGCTATTCCTGCATGAATCAGCTTGGCAATAGGAAACAAGTAGAGAGGGATTTTGAACTGGAAAAAGGTTTCCTTTGAAAACATGCGTTCCTGATTGTTTTTGATCTTTGTGGCCATGCACTGGTGTCTGCACATTTGAAGAAGTAGAAATCTATCCCAGTCTTTGCAGACTGACTTTATTTGGGAAAGCCCCTCACGAGTCAGCCCATCCAGAACTTCTGGGCAGGCCATCTGGTATGGCAAATGAACAAGCTTGCTGCTGGAGTCCTCAGGCAGTCTAGCTTGATCTCTGTCAGCAGTCAGCCTGCCCTAGAACCTGGATCTGTGGGTGGGGCCTGGATCCTGGATCCACTGGGTGGACTTGTTAGTTGTATTCATGTTGGGAGCTTTGGAACATGGGTCTGCAAGAGGGCCAGAGCCTGTATCCATGGGGGCTGGCCTGAAGCCTGAATCCACAGGGCCTGACCTGGTGCTAGGGTGGGTCTTGAGTCTGTGGGGGCTGTCCAGGTGCTGAGGTGGGTCTGGTACCTAAATCCAAGGGGCTGATGACATATCATGTCTGCAGCCGGGATCTGTGGAGCCATCTTGAGTCCAAAGGGGGCAGACCTGGGCTCCACTGGTTCCATGGGTGCTAGTGCTGTGGTTGGAAGCAAAGTCTTGGTGCTCACTTCCCATTCTTTTCCCCAAGAAGAGGTATCTCCATGCTGTGCTGCTTGGGGCTGGGGAAAGGGGTGACATGGGTAATGTAAACTGACTTTTTATCTTCTTCATTGTGTCTTTTTCTTATTTCTGAGTTATATCCAGGTGCTATAAAATCTCACTTGGTTTCCTCAGTTCTTGTGAAGATATTTTCATGTGTGGAGAGTTATTCAAACTGTTTTTGTAGGGGGGTTAAATTATGTTTTGCGATTTCTATCTGGGTAAATTTGGTCACATTTCTTATCCTTTGAGCATCAATTTTGTCATTTCTACCTATCTTATAGCATTGTTGGGAGGAGTGAAATACAATAATAATAACACACACTTCCTGGCTTACTGAGTGGAAGATGTTTTGACCTCTGAGATCCTGATTGTAGAATATTTTCAGAATCTCTTGAGGATGTGATATTGTGTGCCATGGGATATTCCTTGAGATCAAGGAACACTGGCATCATATAGAATACAAAAATAGCTTTGTAATCACTCCCATCTCATATTTGGAGGGAGTTTGCATAGCTTGAACATTAGGCTTTTGTTTTGTTGCAATGTTATTAGGGATAACTGGGGCAGATGTAGACACAAAAAACTAAACTGAACTAAAAAACAAATGGGAGCAGAGATGGTGGGGGTGGGGGCGGGGGAGAAACTGAAGAGAATCTGCTTGGTAATAGGGAACTGAGTGGAGAGGGATTTTGAATTGGAAAATGTAAGAGGAAGAGTCAGACTGATGCTGGATGAAGGCGAAGTTTGGGGTCAAGAGATGTTTGAAGGATTTTTGTTGTTGTTTGAGTGGTACCGGGGGCTGAAGCCAGGGCCTCGCACATGTTTGCCAAGTGCTGTAGCACTGAGCTATGTCCTCAGCCCCTTTTAAAATTTTGTATTTTGAGATAGGGTCTAAGTTGCTTAGGTTGGCCTCAAACTTTCCATCCTCTTGCCTCAGACTCCCAAATAGCTGGGATTACGGTGTGCGCCACCATGCCCAGGACAATAATTTTTATAGGAAGTTTTGTTTTAAGACATGTAGGGTTATCCTCTCCTTCCACATCCCCAAGAAATTTGTAGTAACGGCCTCTACTACTCTTCACTGCCTTGAAGGGAGTTTTGTTTGTTAAGTAAAAGGTTTATTTGTTTTGATGCCCAGAGAGAGACAAAAGTCAAGAATGGTGCTGTTCACGAAGGCCTTGATCTCTTTGGCTTTCCTCCATCTGATCTGATCCTTTCACATTACTAGTCTTCTGGCAGATCAGTAGAGCTGGAGGACGGTGTGATGGTGAATGCTTTGGGTGGGGAGGATATTGTGGGAGTGACCACCAGCTAGTAATAACCAGCTCCTGGGTAAAACACTCTTCATGCAGGACTGTATTCTGAGTTTCTCTTCCTCAAAGCTTTAATTGAGTATAGAGTATAGGTAGAGGGACAGCCTCATGCTTTGTTTGATATGTTCAATTGAGTCAATGTTTAAGTCCTCTGCATAACTGCTTCCCATACTCATTATTTTCCTGTCCTTGTCTACACTTCCCCAAGCTGGAGATCTGGGAATGGCATATCCCAGAGCTTCCAGCCAACAGGTTCAGAAAAGATACAGAAGCCATTACTATTCCTCTAGCAAAGATGGGCAGGCATGAAGTCTTGAGCAAACATGAGTGTTTGGTGTTTTCCAGATGTTCTCCTATCAATTGTCTATACTGCAAATAGGTATAGAGTATCAACCTGCAGATACCAGCCTGCAGTCTGGGGCTGCTGGGGCTGCCTGGGGTAGGGGTTTTACTGGGTTGGAGTCTGAGGCAATGCTGTACTCACTTCCCTCTTTCCCCCACCAGAGGGCGTCTCTCTTTATGCCTTGCTGCCTGGGGCTGAGAGGGGTGGTGTAGTTAAGGTACAACTGCCCTTCCTACTCTCTTCAATATCTTTTATTTCTATACTATGCCCAGGTGCTGTGACATCTAACCTGGTTTCCTTAGCTCTTAAGAAGTCAATTTCAACAATTCACCATGCATGAAATGCCATTTCCCTGGGGGATGAGTGCTGGAAAATCCTACCCATCATCTTGCTGATGTCCTGATCTAGCATTCTGCAGTGTTGACTCACTCATTCCTTACCACAGCCCTCTGAGGTGGACAGTATTACTACCTCTACACTAGATGAGGAAACAATCGTGGGTTAGGCCAATTGCAAAAGTCAGGCAGCTATTAAGTGTCAAGACTCAGAGAGCCTGTGACCCACATTTAAACTCACCAGAATCTTGATGTGTGACTTTGGCAATTCAGAATGACCTCAACCACTTTCCTAGCTTATAAAATGAAAGAATGGTCTATAATGATTTATAAGCTTCTTTCCTTGTCTGCCTATGCAGTCACATTTTTTTAAAAATATATTTTATTTTTTGGTTTTAGGTGGACACAATATCTTTATTTTTATTTTTATGTGGTGCTGAGAATCAAACCCAGTGCCTCATGCATTCCAGGCAAGCGCCGCTACCACTTGAGCCACATCCCCAGCTCCTGCAGTCACATTTTCTATTGCTCAATATCAATGTCGAGCAGTGTAATCCCAGTTACTCGGGAGACTGAGGCAGAAGGATCACAAGTTCAAGGTCAGCCTGGCCAATTTAGTGAGATCCTGTCTCAAAAAAATAAAAAGGGCTGGGGTTGCAGCTCAGTGGTGGAGTGCTTGTCTAGCTTACAAGACTCCTGGGTTCAATTCCCGGTTGTAAGGAAGAAAAGCAAGTGAGGCAATTGCTTTGTCACTCTTCTGTCCTCAATCTCTCCGATACCACTCCTCCTCCTCTGCCCCCAACCTTGCCTGAACTGCTACTGTGTGACCTTGTTAATCTCTGTTGTATCTAGTATACCCAAACCTGAAATATTAGAAACATTTCATCCCTTAGGATTTCAGCTGGAGATTTCAGCTTTCCTATCCTGCTAGCGCTGACAGTAAAGGATGGCTTTAGGGAACCACCTGCAGCAACGGAAATTGTTGAACTATTTGACCAGATAAACTTGAGAAAAATGTTCAGCTTAAATATGGAAGGAAATCAAGAAAACATACTCATGGCCATTAGAAAAGCTTTTATTTAGAAAATAACTACTTAAATATAGACATCTCCAAATATAAACACTTTTCACAGGAGACCTTGCATTACTGCCTGACACCAGCAGATGCTGTGGCCAAGGAGTCCATGGGGTCTCCTGATTCACCAGGATTTTAAGGCCAAATGTGTGGTTGGAGGAGTAGTGGCTGTGAGGCTGTTTTTAATTCCTTTTCTTAAACAAATTTCAGTTTCAAATTCCAAGCTAGGCTTCGTATCTAGGGAAGATCTCAAGTACAGGGGCTCTGCTAAAACAGGATTTTTAGGGACAGATTATTAGGATAAGGGATTAGCAAGAATCTTCCTGTGACTGGGTGGCGGGGGGTCTTGACAGGCACTTTGGAATCTGTTTGACTTTCAATATTGTCTCTGAAGTATGGAGGTTAGTGGTGAAACTAATCTAGGATGAGCTACTTCTGGGACCGTGTATCCTGACTCCTAAGTCCCATGGACTGTCTTCTGCATCTGCAGATATAACCAAATGGTGGTAGTGTACTTTGAAGGAAAAAGGCACCTAATCTTCCTCCAGGCCTGACTGGTTTGAGATTAATATAGAACCAATACTTTTAATGGATGACTGGAGCTCTGACCCTGTTATTCTAGAGAATTCTATCGGTTACTCAGTATAGGGAGAGGTGGCCACGAGACTGCATACACAGATGCATCTAGCAAGGGAGGAACTTCCAGATGAAAGGAAAATAAAGACCTTTAATACTTATTGGTAGAAGAAAGCGGTTGAGTTTTGTATAACCAATTTCGGAACACAGTGAAATAAAACACTGTATTTTAGCGGCTTTGTAAATTGGGGGTATTTGTGTATGAAGAGAGACAGAAAATGTGTGCTAGACACTGGAGGTGTCTCGGAAGCGTTGAAACACCAGGCTCTGTGTAATCCTGACAAGCTCCTTGCCACCAGCAGAATCACAACCTAAAGGGGCTCAGAGAGCCTGGCTTTACTTCATCCAAGTCACAGCTTCAGGTCAGGTGATCGTGGAGCACGGGGCCACCCCAGACTCAGTAGGTTACAACCGATGCCAGCACAGCTTCCTGCATATACAGAACACTGGTCTTCTGACTGGAAATTTCTCACTTCCAAAGGCCGACCCCTGCACTTGCCTCTCTTCTCATGGTCACTGAATCACTGGCAAGCCCCAGGGTCCATTTCAAACTCTAGAAATTCTAGTGAGCATCAAGGTTTACAACCCAATCAAGGAGAACAAGACTTGTCTTGTGCCCTACCATGTCATGGCTAAGCAATGTGGCAGGGCCTGGGTCTTGGGCACAGGTGCCTCTTGGCGGCCCACCAGAACCTTTCAGCAGACTGAAAGCCAAGGCAGCAGGGTTGAGCGGCAGGCACACCAGGATCAGGTGTACTCGGCTTTGCGGATATAGTTGGATGGGACATAGCCTTTCTTCCCGTTAATTTCAGCTAACCACCACTCTGTATTGCCTGTGACATCTTTGAACTCCAGGATTCTGAGTCTCTGATTGGCTGACACACTCAACTCATTTGGGTTTCGTGCCTTGAAGGTGTAGACAGCAAAATAGACCTGTGCGGGGGGGAGAGCGTGAGTTAGAAATGGAGCGTGCTGTCCATGGAACGTGCTGGGGGTGGGCGGTGGGGGTGTTTCTGTAGCTGCATTTGGCTACTGAACACTTAAATGTGGCCAGTGAGACAGAGAATTGAATTTTTAATCTTAATTTTTAACTTTAGATTAATTTTTAACTTTAGATACATGGCTGGAGGATCCCATAGTGAACAGGGCAGATTCAAAGAAAATCAAAGAACTTAACCAGAGATCTCCCAGTTGTGAATCTGAAACAGCTTTTTTTTTTTTTTTTTCTTTAAAAAAAAAAAAGTGTGTTTAAAAAGTGCAAGATATGGGCTGGGGATGTGGCTCAAGCGGTAGCGCGCTCGCCTGGCATGCGTGCGGCCCGGGTTCGATCCTCAGTACCACATACAAACAGAGATGTTGTGTCCGCCGATAACTAAAAATAAATAAATAAATAAATTAAAAAAAAAAAAAGTGCAAGATATAAAGGCTCTACTCAAATTCACAAGACAGGGACAGGTCATTGCAAAAATAGGAAAAAAAAACTCAAGTAGTGCTGGAATTTCATTTCTAAATTCTACACATAAAATACTTTTTTTTTTTTGAACCATAAAAACAAAAGTAGGTTAAATAGCAAGCTTTATACAACATAAGAACAACTAGTAAGCTGGAAGAGCTTAGAACTGAAAGAGTGAAAAAAGGTTTCATTAGGACACCTTTTTACTGCCCAGTGATAGTTCTCAGGCACTCTCTGGACCCCTTTTGCTATCATAAAAGGTCTCAGTGGTAAGGCAGAGAGGTTCCTGCGAGCTGGGTAAGATCTGTGGGCTCTCGGATCACCCCCAGGTCTGGGCAGGCTTCTGCCTCCACGTCTCCTGTGCCCACTCCCACTGGGGTAACTTACCTGGTTGCCCTTTGCCTCACTGCTCTCTGGCTCTTCATTTCTATCTTCCAGAGCCTGGGCTGCTCGTGTACATCCTTTTACAAGGTCTCTACCTTGCCCATTTCGTCCTGGTACAGAGGAACCAACCACCTCTGGATACCTTGAGCTTCGGCAGCAGCTCCTCAGGGCGGCAGCAGGTTGGTTTATATCTCTGGCCGCATCGACAGAGTCCCCTGGCCTGGGCTGGCAGGTGGGGTCTGGATCTGAAGGGCACCTGGAAAGGCCACTCTCTGGACTGCTCAGGTTCAAGGATGCACTGAGAATTCCTTGGTCATACTCCTTCAACAAAGATGCATCTTGAGGCTGCTTTGGGCAAGGCCCAGATGTAAAGGACACGGCCATGCTGCTGGGGTTGAAGGTTAAGGTGCTGTTGCTATTCTGTCGTGGAAATCTTGGGGAGGAGCCACTGTGCTCTGACTCAGTGGAGGAGTGGCTGCCCACAGAGGCATCTGAGCGTCGAGCATTGTACGGCCTCAAGAAGGAGCTGTACACAAAGCCTTTGGTGACTGCAGATGTAGCAGAAGGCAGAGGGAGGCAAAAAGCAGGGAACAAACAGTGAGAAACTGGTTTAAAAGCTAGGTTGATGGTAGCAACAAAATAAGATGCCTAGTGACAAAACAGACCAGAATATTCAATCCCAGGATCCAAGGGGCATGGATAGAATGAAAAGCTATGGCTACCTGTCAATTCATTCTTGTCACAATCTTATAACAGGAGTAATAGGAGGCCTGTGGACAATGGAGAGGCTAGTAATTAAAAAATGCTGGGCTTGGTGGCACATGCCTATAATTCCAGCAGCTTTTGGGAGGCTGAAGCAGGAGGACTGAGTTCAAAACCAGCCTCAGCAACTTAGTGAGGCCCTAAGCAATTAAAAAAAAAAAAAAAAAAAAAGACTGGGAATGTGGCTGTGGTTAAGTGCCCCTGGGTAAAACCCCTGTACCAAACACACACACACACAAAACAAAACATAAAAACCCAAAAACAAAACTACATGTTTGAGACTGGGCATACAAAGAATTTAGTAGATCATCTAGACCATGGCTAAGGAAAAGACTCTGCAGAGTGTATGTTCAATAATACTACGTGTGGCAAAGATGGATCTGAAGACCATCCTTGTGTTGAGGAGCTCCTCATACAAGACCTCATTACAAGTTCGAAGCCAGCCTCAGCAACTTAACAAAACACTACCTCAAAATAAAAAACTAAAAAAGGCTGGGGATATAGTAGAGAGCACCCCTGAGTTCAATCCCCAATACCATTAAAAAAAAAAAAGAAATGATTTGGGATACTGTGAGTATTGTTCAGTAGAAAGGTGTTCACGGGAGTTCAAATACACAGAGCACACGTACAGCATAAGCTCACTTTTACAAGGGCCTGCCCTCCTGTCTGAGAGGGCACACAATGCTTAAACTCTCCACAGCAACAATGTTTAACTAGGATTATAATTAGTCACACATTGCTTTGTTCAGAATTTGGCAAAAAGTTACTAAAAATACTTTTATTTTTCAAAGCTTTTTGGATTTTGGAATCAAAGAAAAAGGATGATAGACTAATGTTATTATTTGAATTCTGAACCCCCCCCCCTTGAGTTGTTTTAAAAGTCATTTCCTAAATAGTTATAAAGTAAAATTGTTTATAGGGAGAAAAAAAAATTTTTTTTTTTTTTTTTTTTTTTGGGAGAAAAATTTTAAAAGTAAACAAAACCCACAGGTTTCTAATCTACACACAAAGGTAAATTTACAGAAAGTGGAGAAGGCAGCTTATCCTGAGGCTTGCGACGGGGCTCCACCAGGTAGCCCCACTGTCTGGACAACATATAAAGCATGGCAAGATCTTGCAAGATAAGTCACGGAACCTCTTCTGGAATTTGTCAAAACAGAACCAAAACAGGTTGGTTTTGTTTTGGTAATGATCTACACGAACATTCTCCAGAGCTGAAGAGGACTTTTCGGGTTGTTTTCCTACTTTAGTTCCTTTCATCTGATATCCAAAATGCTTACCTCCATTGTCAATCAGCCAACGGTTCTGACTGCCCATGGGGTCTTTCTTTTTGATCACACCCACCAGGTCACCTTCCAAAAGTGAGACATCCAAGTCCTGAGCAGCATTGAAGTTCCGTTCTGCCTGGAAGAGTTTCTCAGGGGGATACCTTGCCAGCAGGGAGGCTCTGAGTTCTTCTGACTGTAGCATGTAACTTGGCTGAAAGGCAACAGAAGAGACACATCAACAAGAAGCCCTGCCTGGCCATTACCCTAGCAGCCATATTTAATCTCATCTTGCAGAGTCTGAGAAGGGAGGCACTAACCATCAACCGCTCACCACCCCATCAGATGCTTTCATAACTGAGTAAGCCCGTGTAGCTAGGCAAAACTCATGGCCTCTTCGTAATGCTTTGGCACCTTTGTAGTTAAGAAAAAATCAAAATGCCTAAGTAATATCACTGAGTTGTCTTATAATTTGCTAGATGCATCTAAATAATTGAGTTTCTCTATCTTGACTTTACCATCAAAAACAAGTAACAGTCATAAAAAGAAAAACTAAAGGTAATAATAAATTTGGTTCTCCCTTTTAAGGTAATCTAAAAATCTATGGGATTATAAAGAGCAAAAATATCATTAGCAAAGGCATAGCAGCATATTTTTAGATTATGAGCCCATATAATCTGTTATTCCTTACCCTAATGTTTAAAATATGGAAGAACTGAGGTATTTTGGCCAGTTAATCACCAACTGCTTTTATAACTTTCTAACTCACAATCAAAAATTGGCAGGCCTAGCAGAATATACCCTTCAATCAATGTATTAATACTTCATTAAGAGCCAAGCTTGACATTCATATCAGGTGTGAGGAAACTACAGATGGCTATTATCAGGTACCAGGAGGCACAATGCTGATGCTCAGGAAAAATGAAGGCATGAGCCAGTGACAGATGATGCCCAATATAAACTAATCACCTATAAAGACACAGCCACGTCCACCAACACTGATGAGGAGGATGATATGATACTTGCATAACACTTATTATATGCTAGGGATTTTCTTTTCTTTTTTGGTACTGGGGATTGAACCCATTAAGCCACATTCCCAGTACGTTTTTATATATTTAGAGATAGGGCCTCCTTGAGTTGCTTAGCCTTGCTAAATTGCTGAGGCTGGCTTTGAACTCATAATCCTCCTGCCTCAGCCTCCCAAGCCACTGGGAATACAGGTGTGTACCACCTCATTCAGCATGCCAGGCATTTTCTAAGTGCTTTCCATATATTAACTCATTTTAGCCTGTGAGAACCCTATGATGTAGGTACAGTCATCATCAATGTCTAGAGATGAGGAACTAAGGCCTAGAACAGAAGCAACATGCTCAAGGACAGTGAGTAAGCATCCATCCTGATGAACCCAGGTGGTCCAGCTCTGGAGTTCACACTCCATTCTCCCCACCCCCGTCCCAGGAATTGAATACAGGGCCTCACACATGCTAGACAAGCTCTCTACTGCTGAGCTACCCCAGCCTTTTTAAAATTGTTATTTTGAGACAGGGTCTCACTAAGTTGCCCAAGCTGGCCTTGAACTTGTGATCCTTCTGCCTCAGCCTTCTGAGTAGCTGGAATAGCAGGGGTTTGCCACTATGCCCATTTGGAGTTCATACTCTTAACCCCAAGGCTGTGCTACCTCTCAGTCCATACTCACCAGGCCCAGGAGGGGCTTTCGAGCTGACTGGCGGTCTGTCGTTTTCCTCTCAAAAGGCTTTTTGGTAACTGGGAGAGACTCTGGGAAGAAGGTGAAGACCTGGAGTTGCTGCATAACCCTGCTGTGCTCCTCATGGAAGATAGCAATCAGGTTCCCCTCTCTGCCGGCAACTTTGAGTAACTGGAGTCGATGGAAAGAGATGAGACAGGAAATGAGAGAATAGGGAGGAAAGATCTCTGGGATCAACAGAGCCTCTTTAGAACCAACTGGAAGCTGCGGTGTGAGCTACCAACCGCAGACAACATAAGAGGAGGTGCTCTGCAGCGCCGCCTGGGTGGCAGCACATCTGGGGATTGCTCAAGATGAAGAAAGTTTTAAAAGCCCCAGGTTTCATTCAGGGCACCATCAAGAGATCAAGAATTTCTGAAGGGCTGGACTGAACGTCACAGTGAATCCCGCTAGTTCGGATAACCTTTTGAAAAACCCCACTGTGCGCTCTCAGAAAAGCCCCAGAACTTCAGAGATGGCTTTCCCACAGAGGGTAAGGGACTCACTGAAAGGAGCGGCTGCAACTGTTCCAGCGCCTGCTGCACAAAGTCGCAGTGGGCTTCGGCGTAGCCATGGATGCAATTGGTGAAGAGGCCCTGGGCGTACTGCTGGAACTTGGGCAGCTCATCCAGCAGCTGTGCATTCAAGGCCTCGTAGTTGTTCCGGGCAGACTGGAGCTCCTCCAGGGTCTTCTTGTCCTTTAACTTCTCTGCCCGTTCTGTGCAGTTGTAGAAGTCCAGAAGCTTGTCAAAGCGCTTCTGTACCAACTTGTGGGGCCCTGTAAACATGCTCAGTAACTGATTCAAGGGAGAGATGACAAGCCGCTCTGTCCTCTCCTTCTGTAGGGACAAGAAAGGCACATTGTTCAGAACCCTTTCTTTCTGAGTCTCCAAAACACCTGTGAGGCTGACATTGTCGTGCCTATAGCAGCTGCTTTGTCCACAGTGGACACAAGCTGACCCCACGCAGACCTGCAGCTGGGCCCCACTAACAGATTCCATAAAATCTCAGCATACACATCACCAACAACTCTCAAACATCAAGGTATTTTTGCAAAGGATGCTAATCCCACTTTAGCTCCTCAGTTGATGCATGCTAAACTGCACGTGGATATTTTTGCATTAGAAACGAGATGTGATAGGCTGGGGATGTGGCTCAGTGGTAAAGCATCTGCCTAGCACATGTGAGAGACTGGGTTTGATCCTCATAAACACATAAAATAAAGGTATTGTGTTCTCTACAACTTATTTTTTTTTTTTAAATGAGACCTGATAGTCTACTGGATAACATTTGTTATGTGTTGTTCATACAGCTTGATTTTTTTTGGGGCGGTGGGGTGGGGCAGAGTAATTTTCACATAACTACTTGGTAATATCTGTTTTTTCTTTTCAAATGATTTTTCTTTTCTTTTTAGAAGGACAAACATTGAGGGTAGGGTATTAAACAGATAAAAGAACATAAAAAGGTACTTAGTAGCATCTCATTAAAAGTAATTTACTGTTAGAACACCTGTGAATTTCCCAAGTGTGCTTCCCTGTTTTCCTTCAGCTATGCAGAGAACTCCAAGAAACTCACCCCACCCAATTCTTTTTTCAGTTGTCAATTGATCTTTTATTCTATTTTATTTCTTTATTTTTACATGGTGCTGAGGATCAAACCCAGGGCCTCACACATTGCAGGCAAGTACTCCATCACTAGCCACAACTCCAGCCCCCACCCAATTCTTTTTTTTTTTTTTTTGTACCTGTGATGTGCAATTAATCCCATATACATCTGTTTAGAAGTTCCCAAGCAATTTGGCCCTTTCTTCAGAAAATGGCTTATACTTTATAAAGATCTACTTGTTAACATTTTAACTTGAAAGGAATATTTAGAAATAATTATCTTTTAATCAGAATTACCAGTAATGCCAGATTAAATTTTCTAATTTTCCTTTCCTAGTTTGCCCTCTGAAACTAACTTGATCACACACACACAAAAAAATCCATTGAATACACACAGGCCCTACCTGTCCCCCAAACTCGGTCATATTCTGAATATAAAGTTAATATGAACATAACTGACGGGCGGAATTAACTGTTGCATGAACTGACATTTGAGATGACCCAGCTACAAGAAATAGGCTGAATAGAGCCACTTACAAAATTTGTAAAGAGCTGGTCACTGATGTAGCGATGCACCTTCTCAAACTGCTCCAGGTCGCGGTGTCCCCTCTCCATGCACAGGTCCCACATGCTCACGGCAGCCACCACTTTCACACAAGCTGATTCCTGGAGCCAGTTAGAGACACAAGAATACACAGAATTTTCTAGCCTTCATCACTCATCCTGTACAGAAGTCTGAAACAAAGGGTTCCATCATGCAAACTCTCTTCACTAGTATACTATTTCAACTTTGAAACGAGCAAAATTTTATAAACATTTATGGGGCACACAAAGAAGCTAAGACTTCTGGTTACAGAAAAACTGGCGAGGTTTAAAGAGCCTAACATTTTTCTGTGCCCTCTAGATGACAGGCTTTCTTAATTCACCAAAAAAGTAAATAAAAATTAGAACCAAGATGATTCCTACAGAACTGATGATCAATCACCTCCCCTCCTGGAGTCCTGGCTCCGGCTTCACCTTCTCAGGAATGACTGCCCCGACCTCCCCTCCCCTCCCCTCTGTCCTGCTTCCCCTACTCTGACTTCAATTCCCCTGATGATTTTCACTCTGCTTCTTCCTGTCGCTGCAAAAAATATGAATGCTTGCTAATTGTCTCCATCTCCCTCCCCACTAAGTCAAGACAGTTTGAGTCCAAGGCTAGTTTTCTTTGCCTGCCTGGCACAATGTTGGGCTTTGCATTCTGAATTCTTATTTTTTTTATTTTTTGGTACTGGGGATTGAATACAGGGCTGCTTAACCACTAAGCCACCTCCCCAGCCCTCTTTTATTTTGAGATAGGGCCTCACTAAATTGCTGAGGCTAGCTTTAAACTTGAGATCCTCCTGACTCAGCCTCCCGAGCTGCTAAGATTACAAGCGTGGGTCATCATTCCCATACCTGGCTTTGCCTTCTTTATTATGTTTAGGGATGCCTATTAAATTAACTCAAAATCTAAAAGTACTAACAACTCCATGAGGGTATTTCAGGGATAAACAAAGTAAACTGATCAGTATCAAAGCCTATCAATTACTCATACATTGGTTTGATATTTTATAATATTTTTTAAATCTTTTGTCTTTTTGTCCTATATCTATACCCATAAATAAATCCAGTACTTTGCTGGGGGAATCCTCCTAATTCCTCTTCAATTCAGAACTAATGTAAAACATGATGTCCTTTTTTCTTTTAGAAAAGTATTATAAAGTCCCCAAATATCAGGCCATATGCCAATATAGATACCAAATTATATGGTCAATGAATTTTAGTTCTTCCAGGCTCTCTATCAGCCAATCTACCTAATTTTATTATTCGGCAGGACTTTTCATTTTATGTAAGTGACAAAATTGTTTTACATGTTCTCTCTTCAATTTCTGCCATTGTGGTCAAAACCAAATTGTGCTGTCCACTGAATGGCTATTCTACCTCAAAATATTATCATCCATTACTATGAAAATGCCTTCTAAGTTGGGGGTTCAGGCTTGAATTTGCTATAGACTCATCAAAATTAGGCAATAACCCAAGAATCTGTAAGGCAAGGGAACATACTTGGTAGCTGCCCTAATATTGTTCTTGTCAAATCTCACTTTAAGCTAATGTGTCCTGGAAAGTTTTATAAGCCTTAGTTTAGACCTAATTACATTTTTTTTTAAAACCTAAAGGGAGTTATTTCAGATCAGTGGGCACACTCAATTAAATGAAAGATCTGGAAAACAATGTTGGATGCCCACATCAGACCTTGTAACTAAAATAAATTCCAGCTAGATCAATGATTTAAACTTAAAATAATGGCACAAAAAAGCACAGGAGATATTTTTTGATCTTGGGATAGGAAAGGCCTTTCTACATGACGCCAATCTAAGAAGCCATGTTTTATAGCAACACAATCCATAAAAGCTGAGTTATGGATCCAGCCTAGATGCCCATCAACATACGGATGGATAAAGAAAATTTGGTATATATACCCAATGCATTTTTATACAGCCATGAAAAATGAAATCATGTCATCTACAGGAAAATGGATGGAACTAAAGAACACCATGTTAAGTAAAATAAGCCATATTCAGGAAGTCATAAATTATGTTTTCTCTCATAAGTGGATGCTAGAGAGTAAAAAAGGGACGAGTGGGGAGAGAAAAGAGGGAAAGGGGAGGTACCAGGCAATAAAACTGACCAAATATGTTACGTGCACATATGAGTATATTGTAAAGAATCCTACTATTTTATAATTATGATGTACCAATAAAAGTAAATAAAATTAATGCAACAGTGCTGATCTTGTAAACATTGGATTATTTTTAAATAACCTACAGGCTTTCCAATGAAAAGCACATCTTGGGGCTGGGGCTCAGAGGTAGCACACTTGCCTGGCAAGTGTGAGGCACTGGATTCAATTCTTAGACCTTTTATTTATTTATACATGGTGCTATCAACAACTAAAAATAAGCACATCATGTCAAAATGGTGAGTCTAGATTTCTTAACTTTCATTGAACAATATGCTCCATGAACAAGAAAGTAGACAGAATTTCTAACTAGAGCGATGCTGATACTTACCCGGATATGCTGGAGGTACAGAGAGAGGTCTCGAATAAAAGATTTAATCAATCTTTCTTGCATTCGGAAATTCTTTTCTGTTTCTTCAAATACTTCATCTTTTATCTGTTCAAAATAAACAAGTGCTGTTAGGAAATTGGGACCTTCTCTCAGTCTATCTTACTGTCAAAATTGTCTTTCTTAGGCACATCTTTCATTTAAATATTAAGACTTGGGCTGGGGATGTGGCTCAAGCGGTAGCGCGCTCGCCTGGCATGCGTGCGGCCCGGGTTCGATCCTCGGCACCACATACAAAAACAAAGATGTTGTGTCCGCTGAAAACTAAAAAATAAATAAATAAATATCAAGACTTTAATGTTCTCCTGAATCATACTAAAGTGAATTTAAACACCTCTGTGTGGCTTGAAAGACCTCTAAAATACACATGGGCCCTCCTATCTCTAGCCTCCCCTCTTCACCATCCCCTGGCCCTGCCACACCTGCTGACCCAAGGCCTTTTCTTGAGGGGCTCTCCCTGCCTGGTAGGCCCTGTCCTCTCCCTAGGTCAAACCTGCCCCACTCCCATTAAAGCTCAGATGAACTTTTGGGCCAAGAAGAAGCTCACTTATTGAAATTTTCGTTTTTCAAAGTATTACTGACATTGGGGGATAAGTGTAAAACTTAGCAACTGAATATTTTCTGGCTTGTACTTTCTTCTAATTGTTATCCTGAATATTTGATATAATAGAATGAAGACTAGAGACTTCAGATCTGCTCTCTGCACTGTTGCTAAACTGCATTTCAAGTCATGCAATCTCCTACCTTTTGTGTTCTTATTGGTAGCACAAGGTATCCAACTAAGTGATCTCTTGAATCCTTTGTAGCTTAATATGTCTACAATTTTAGATTTGCCTCCCCAGAGATTACAGGTTCCTTAGAGGCTTTAAAAAACACAATAATTATTATATACCAGCTGATCTGGCCTTCTAATTTGCCTTTGTGTATATTGTAAGTGGTGCACCAAGGAACAAATGGAGGGTTGAGGGGTTGGATTCACTTCATCAGTAGCTGCAGGGGCCCTGCTTCCACTAGCTACAAAACCAGAGGAGGGAGCAAGAAGGGAACTGTACCCACTGACAGCAGTCAGCTGCCCCATGGAGCACTGAAAAGCTGTCAGATGCACTGTGCCTTCAGGGGCAGGGATCTCACCTGGGGAGCAAAGCCAGTGAGGTGCTTCAGGTGACTGCTGACTCGGTTGGATTTCTTGATAATGGAGTGGATGTTCAGCTTGGAAATTTTCTCCATGAGGCTATCTTCATCACCCTTCCGGTACTTGAGCACTAGGGGTCGAGTCAAGGCGGTCAGTCAGAAAAGCACGTTCCTGAGCCTGATTAAATGAACCTAACAACCTGAAAACATGCACATTTTCCCCAAAACTAATATAAGATGGAAATAACAACTCAAACTGGAGCTAGTGTTTGTCAAAGAGCTTACAGCTGAGTAGACAAAATATTAATCCAAATAATCATTTATGAACAGATTCAATACCTGAAGAACAGCAGAGAGAGGCTGTGGGCAGCTGGGAGAAGAGCTCAAGAGGAAGAGGAGAGGGGCAGAGGGACGAGGGAAAGAACCAAAAGCTGGAGTCAGGGAAATATCTGAATCTAGTGCCTGGCTCTGTCACTTAACCAAGGTATGGCCTTAAGGAGGTGGTTTTACTTTTTTGAGCCTCATTTTCCTCTGCAATAAAATGCAGAAAGTAATAGCAATTTTGAGCCCTATAATTCCACTAAATTATAGTCTCATATACAAATGAGATCTTTATATCCAGTGATCTCACATAGTTAAATGGTATACATTAGTTACCTGATTAACAGTGTCGTATGTCAGGCACGATCTGCAGAAATGCCTAGAGATACCAACAGAAGGATTTCAGGGGAAAGACTGGATGGGAGTAGAAAGGACACTGTTGTAGAAAACGAAGACTACATCACATCAGGAGACAGAACCAAGAGAAAGGGCTCCATGGTGGAGAGCTCTCAAAGCCAGTCAGCATCACATATGAATATGGTTGATGTGACCGAGGTAGAAGAGGGAACAATTTTAGATAACTTTAGATAAAGTGTGGAGAGCAGTAGACGGGCAGAGGTTACACAAACTAGTAACTAGTTAGCAGTTACACGACATTATGGATTCTCCAAGGATACGAAAACAAGTCAATCCAGCAATCACCATGCTACGGTAGCATGGTGATTAGGGCCTCAGTATTGATAGCATGGAATGAACCGGATCTATTACTTCTCTTCTATCTAGAAGGAGGGGTGTCTGGTCAACTGATGGTAAGGTGCTGGAAGGGAACATGATGGGCAGGAATGAGGGGACCCCGGGAGGCAGGCAGATTGAGGTTTTTCTAAAAAAAGATTAAAAGGTCCCAAGTTTACAGGAGGCAGTTAAGACCTCCAATTACGTGTGTAGAGCAATCTGAGCAGGGATTGAAGAGAACCGCCCTAAATGAGCAGAGCAAAGGCGCGTGCTGCAGATCTCTCCTGGGCAAGCCCTGTCCAGTCTGCCTGGTCTGGGGTCAAGGCTCTTCACTGCTTGCTGCTTTGTCAGTGGCACCTTATTTCCAATGGCCCACAGAGGTGCTTTTCTTACTATTACTCTATTTTTTCCCCCGGATATCACATTTGTTCCAAATTCTACTACCCTTTCTTTACCACAACCCTATTACACCTATCACCTGCCTTGTCCAACCCTGAAGTAATTCTTTCAAGAAGGAAGGCATTCTCACAGGGCACACCGACTTTTCAGCAGTAAAGCTGTTCTTACCCAGGTCCTTTCGACGTTTATATTCATTAATGTTAACGTTGATTTCTTTGACAGCAAGGACTGCGCTGGTTAAAGGCACTTTATCTGGGTGGGATTCTGGAGTGGAATTCAGCAGCTCTATTAGCAGCAGCGGGTAGCGCATCACTCTCTGTACTGGTTTGATGAGGAAGGAGCCCAGGTTAATATAATTGGTGCATCCCCTGTAAAGAAGGCAAAAGAACTTCAGTCAGTTGTCAATAATACAGTGTCTCGGGATTCTGTTATTCCTGAATAGGGCTCTGTCCCTTTACTCTGCTTTCCAGTGTCCTTCATTCAACAAATACATTGCTCAATGACTGGCCCACGTTCTAAGAAACGTGTTGGTAGGGATCTTTGTTGTTGTGCAGACATTACAGAGAGCACTCACACAGACTAAGACTGTGTCGAAGACAATATGGGTCCACCATTGTATACATGGTCTATTGTTAATTGAAAGTTTGTTATGATTACTTATTGGGCATCTGATAAATACCAAGTACTGTTCTTCTAGGTGCTGGGAATTTAACAGTGATCAAAAAAGTCCCTGCTATGTAGGGATTAGACAGGCAATAAACAAATAAATATAAAAAGTGCTAAGGAAAAAATATGGCAAGGGAAGTCTACTTCTAGGTTTCTATCCATAAAGAACATAAAATCATAAAATCAGCTTACTACAGTGACATCAATGTTTAGAGCAGCTCAATTCACAATAGCTAAGCTATGGAAGCCAACCTAGGTGCCCTTCATCCAATGAATGGATAAAGAAAATGTGGTACATACACATAATGGGATACTACTCAGCCATAAAGAAGAATGAAATTATGGCATCTGCCAATAAATGGACAGAACTAGAGAAATAAGCCAGTCCCCAAAAACCAAAGGCCAAATGCTCTCTCTGATGTGTGGATGCTAACACACAATAGGGGGAGGAGGGAAGAATAGAAGTTCATTGAATTAGAAAAAGGGGAATGAAGGGGGGGATGGGAATAGAAAAGACAATAGAGTAAATTGGACATAACTTTCCTATGTTCATATATGAATACATGATCAGTGTAACTCGACATCATGTACAACCACAAGAAAGGGAAGTATGAATGTTTGTAAAATATGTCAAAATACACTCTGCTGTCATGTATATGTAAAAAGAATAAAATAAAAATAAATAAAAGAAAGTCACCCTTTGAAGGGTTAGGAAAAATCAACAAAATGAGCTCACACATCAAGTAGCAAGAGCACTTACCATTCACTGTACAGGGTCCTACAGGGCAGCGGGCATGAGGACAAAGAGAGAGCTTATTAGAGAGATGACATTAATTTTTTTCATTCTTCTTAGAATTTACCTACAGACTGGGAAAAAATTACATGGGATAAAAGAAAATGAGGAATGTCTATGGTGGCATATCTAGTCTCTTAAAGTTAGTAAGGCCTTATCTTCACTTTGATCTACTTATCTGTACATTTATAACTTGCCTAAGACCAGAAAAATCTTATCTAAGAAGGTATACTTGGTCTTCTCATATATGCTCTTTATTTATTTTTTTTAAATACTGAGCATTGAACCTATGCACACTTAATCACTGAGCCACATCTCCACATCCTCAGCTTTTTTTATTCTTTATTCTGAGATAGGATCTCACTAAGTTGCTGAAACTGGCCTTGAATTTGCAATCCTCCTGCCTTAGCCTCCTTGTTCCCGGGATTACAGGGTTATGCCACCACACCTAGTTCTTATACGTTCTTGTTTATTTGGACCAAACTATCTTCTTGAGTGCTGCTTTTCCTTTTTCTTCATCTTCCTTTATTTTCCCCAACACTGGGGATTGAACCCTGGGCCTTATGTATGCTAGGTAAGTGCTCTAATTCCTGGCTGCTTCCTACCCAAAATGTTGACTTAATACTTGGTACAGAGGACAAGTGATTTAAATGGCCAAAAATACAATCAGGAAACCTTTAAGATTTCCATGTATATAATGAGAAAAGGGCAAGCAGGTCATTTAATGGATCCTGTTTAAGATATGACAGACAGGTGTCATAAGAAGTCTGGGCAAATACAGGCTGACTGCTACAACAACAATAGAAGCAAAGTGGTCAAATCCTACTTGAGATCTGCCAAGGAGTTCTGAAGATGCTTCTGGATCTTCTCATCCTTCTCATAGATTTCCAGCAGTGAAATGGCCTCATCATGATTCTGGCAGTAGACCTTGTATGTTCCCTCAAGTTCATCCCGGTGGTCAAGAAACACGGGTCCTTTGGAGCACACAGAGGCATACAGCAATGTCAGTAACTTTCTTCTCGTTATCATAACGTGTATCACCAAATTTTAACATCAGCTAAATCCTGTTATAAGACTTGAGGAGGCTATCCATCAAATTAATACATTTCCATGTAATAGCTTAAAGTTGGAATCATTTAAAGCAGAATTAACATTTTATAGAACTACAGATTAAACCCAGAAGTGCTCTACCACTGAATTATATCCTCAGCCCTTTCTATTTTATTTTGAGATGGGGTTTCACTAAGTTGCCCAGCCTGGCCTTGAACTTGTGATCCTCCTGCCTCAGCTTCCCAAGTAGCTAGGATTATAGACATGCACCACTGCACTGAGCCCAAGCAAAATGTAGAGAACCACCTTATTTATGTATTTATTTTTTAGAACCCACACACAGCTATTCCCTGAAGTCCATTTAAGTACAGTAAGGCATTTATAAGCATCCTCCATGTGGGCGTGTGATCAGAACCCTATAAGAATCCCCTCACACTCCAATCTCCAGGAAAATCTGCACAAGGACAAAGAAGTCCTTCTACAATAGTGGTTTCTGACTTTTATTTGTGCATAAATTAAAAACATAGGATAAGTGCAATTTATTATGCTATACTATATTATATTGTAATGTTTTAAAAAGCCCTAATTTGTGGTAAAACAACACATGTATTTCTTTTTTTTTTTTTAATATTTTTCAGTTGTCAATGGATCTTTATTTTATTTTTTTATTTATATGTGGTGCTGAAAATTGAACCCAGTATCTCACACATGCTAGGCAAGCGCTCTACCACTGAGCCACAAACCCCGGCCCCACATGTACTTCTTTATACAGCATTAAACAAAAAAATACAGCAATCAGCATGACAATCACCATACTTTCAGTGACATAGGAAACATTTCTTATAGTTAAGTGTTGCTGAAATTTTAAGATAATTGCAACAATCTAATGTGATATGAACCCCTGACCTCATTTGGTAACAGTCACAAATATCGCTAATTCTTCATGGTTGTTCCTATGTTCACACTTTATACATATTAAATTTCAGCTCAAAATTTGTAAAAATTTTTTTCTAACCAAATCCATATACTCTGAAATCTATTCACAGGCTCCTGGTCCATGGCCAGTTGGGCATATAGAGCTGGTTCCTAACCAAACTTCTACACAGAAGTTTCTTTTATAGCTGCTTCCTGAGTGTGCTGATTCCCTGGCTTGTTAAAATTATTCTTACTCTTGCCCTGTTCCTTCTGTCAATACTCTCCGTCCTTCTACCTTCAGCTTGCAGTGCTCCACAAGAAAACACCTCATCCTTGTTCTCCTCCTTCAAATATGATCCTACTTCCTGCTTCCCCCATGACTCTGAGCATAACCCTCCCTCAGGGGACCCCAACCCATTCTCTATAATGTCACCTTTGTTCTTGTGTTGTGTCCCACAGAACTCCCTGTTCTTGAAGAGATCGGTTTCTTTAAGTTAAATCTATTCCCTGATGTATGGCTCCTTTCTTTAAGAGAAACTGGATTGTTTTCTGCCAACCTTACCACCTGCCACCCGTCTCACTGAAGTCTCACTTCCGCCTCCTGCACTCAGCAGACACAGCAGTGAGAGTGAGGCTGCTACTTTTTGATCTTTGGAGCGACTTTGAAATTCCTGAGCCTCCAATGTGTTCATTCCCACCATCCCGGATTTCCCTGCCTTTTCCTCTGCGTTCTTCCTTCTATCCCATTCCTGACCAGCATCTGAGAACTCTCACTTGCTGGCGACTAATATCAGTCACACCCTCTGTTCACTGTACATCACCACCAACCAGCAGAGCTACACTCCAGTCTCCAGGGGTGCATGATCCAAAAATGGGCCATGAAATCTACTTAATGAGTCAAGATCAGCATTTTTTAAATGAAATAAAATGGACTAAGTACACATGAGAAAAGATCACATATAGTAAAACAACATGTATCCTGTGCCATTATGTAAAACACCCCCCCCCCCAAAAAAAAATGTTTAAAATAACTTAAAATCCCAGCCTGGGTCACATAAACTGCTGGGAGATATACTGTGGAGAGGACAGTCTGCATTATGTGCTGCCATTTGTGTGGCTGTAAAAAATGGGGCTAAGGAACTGGGGTAGAGAAATGTGCAACTGATGGTATGTGATAAACCGTCTCTGGGAAGAGACTTAAGGACACTAGTAACTGGTGGCTTCTGGTTGAGAAGAGCAGGGTGGCTGGGAACAGAGAGGAGGCTTTTCATTACGTGGTTTTTTTTTTTTTGTTTGTTTGTTTTGTTTTTGTACCTTTCTAATTTTGTGCTATGTAAATGTATTAAAATAAAAATTAGACTAAAAATATATTTCTCTCTCTCTCTCTCTCTCTCTCTCTCTCTGCTTCCTGGCTGCTGTGAAGCAAGCAGCTTTCTTCTGTCAAGTCCTCTTGCCACAATGTTCTGCCTCAACCTGGGCCCAGAGCGATGGAGTTGGCTGAATGTGGACTGAACCTCTGAAACCTTTCAGATTATCTTCAGGCCCCACTTCTTAAAGATCTCACCTCCCAACATCATCACCCTGGGGACCAAACTCTCAACATAGGAATCTTGGGGGACAAACCACATTCATACCACAGTGCCTGCTTTGTGCTAGGTACTGGGAATAGAATACTTCTAATTCTGCCATGGGCTGCCTTCTGAGTGGAGGTCCTCCTCATTTCATCTGGGATCCAACCCACCCACAGGGGGCCTTCTGCAGGGATGCTCTCCTCATCCAGCTCAGGCTCTGACATCCTGCTTTGGGTCACAGCTGGATGGATGCCCTCCTGACCTTGCTTAACCTGGGACACTTTGTGTCAAGCATCTTTAATGCAGACATACCATCTTCACCCTCCATGAACTCCACACAGAACACTGGCTGCCATCTCCTGCCTGGACACTTTCCTCACCTTATTCAGGCTCTGACACCCAGCTCTCCTTACAGCTCAGAGTTCCTTCCCATCTGCGGATCTTCCCACCTTTTGTTATTTTACCATATTTATCTCTAATCTTTTTTCCATATATTTTTAAATATGCTGATAATTAACTATGGTTTTCTATTTTTATCCTGTTTGTAAAAACACATTTGCCCAAGACATTAAGAATATTTCATAGAATAAAAATTTTAAAAATATCTTAAATAAAAAAGGAATGTTTCATGTTAACATAAATGACACTTAAAAATAAAATAAAAATATACTAAACTTAAGTTTTTAAAAAATTGCTTATATAATTCATATCAATCTGTAAAACCTTTGCTAATGGTTTCACAAAGCTTTAATTTGCCTTTCTTGTCCTTTTCAGACCCTGCACTTATCAGATGATCAAATCCTATCCTTTACCATTCCCCACTGAAGGAACTGGCTGGCCTTTGGGGTGACAGTCCAAAGCTACACTGCAGTGTTCACCCCCCACACACATATGTGCCCTGCCTGCAGCCCCTCTGTAAGGCAGGGCCACCCTGGCCTGGCTGCTAAGCCATTCAATTTCCACGATTCTCCACCACTTCTCCCTCTGTGCCTCAACACAGCTAAGCCTGCCACCTGAGCTTTGTTTGACTCAGGACAAGAAATGAAGGGAAGAAGAAAAAATACTAAGTGTCATCCAGCAGTGTGATGAAGCCTGGCCTGGGGATTTCCCAGAGGCAAGACCACCTCAGTGCAGGTGCAACTCTCACAAACCTACACCTCAATTCGCCCTGACAAGAACAGCTTACCCTCCCTTTGTGAAAGAAACAGCTGCCAACTGACCTGTCATGAACATAGGTATGAAGAAGGGGGAAGAATCCCCAGGCTCAGCTGGGTCTGAACGGAGGGCCTCTTGGTCAGGCGGTCCTCTGACCCCTGACTCTATCTGGCCCAGGCCCTCAGCCTGCTCCTGCTGTCCATCCTATGTAAGAACAAATCATTTGCTATAAATTGTAAAGTCTTGAGTCATCTTTGATGTGAATGGGACTAAAGGAGAAAAGTCACCCTAGGAAGCTGGTTAACTAGGACTAGTAGAGAAAGCTGAACATGACAACAAGTAACAGAACAAACTAGAAGAAAAATGAGTAATTATTTGATTATAATTAATCCCTCTCATTGCTTTTATAATTCAAATAAATGAATTATAGGTACTTATAAAATCTTATAAATTGGCCCTTATGCTTTATTATTACATTAAAGCTGGGTCACCGTGGCTTCTTTCTAGTCAACTCATCATTGGCTCCTCCTTTCTCTGGCCTCCAGCAGCAAGGCCCCAGGCTGCCGTTTCTTTACTCCTCTATAAAGTGACAGACATACAGCTGTATTCTATGACTGACACAGAGGTTAGTGGTGTGAACTTGGAAGACAAAGACCTGAGCTGAATGTCAGCCCATCGATTACTAGCCATGTATACACAGGCAAATTTCCTTCACTTTCCTCATCTGTAAAACAAGACTCAAGAGTAGAGAACTGAGATCCAGTATGACAATCTTGAGATGCGGAGTGTGTGATAAACACTCAAGAAACATTAACAAGGTTGCACTGTCCTTCACATTCCTCAGCCACTTCCCCCTTCCTTCAGGAGGACAGAGCCCTCATTTTGTTCCCATATCCACTTTTCCCCAGGTAAGTTGGGTAAATGCTGCCTAGTCTAACCCAACAGCATGACCCCTTGCCCCATTCCAGTGATCAGTTTAGGAACATTGGGACTCAGTTCTGGACAATGGCTGGGCCACAACCATCAGTCTGAAAGACACCGTACTGTATGACATCTAAAACTTCTATTACTAACATACTTTACCACCTCAAAACAAGCTGAGGTTAAAGGAGAAGCAGCAGTCAAGTAACCTCTGAACTAAATAAGTAACATGTCACGTTCCTAGCATAATGTTTAGCACCAGGAAGGCCCCTTCCCACCCCCCACCTCCCATCGATGAAACAATGGCAGGAGCTCATACCTACAGCATTGCTGATTTCCAGGGCAGCTAATAATTGTTTTGAGACCTTAATCACCATTGGCATATTTCCAAAAAGCCCTTCAAAATCGATGTTTGGTACCTGAGAAAAGGAAACAAAGTATAAAGATGCATGGAAATGAAATTAATGGCATATCACTAATATTAGGAACATCTCTTCAAGGATTACACAAAATTTGCCCAGGTCATAGTCTTTACTTGCTTTCACCAAAAAGTTTCTAGGACAGAGACTTCCAACCTTTAGTGGCACACTTTATCCTCAATTCAACTATGCTTCAGTTTGAATGTAGAGTATCCCCAAGAGAGCCATGTGTTAAAAGGACTGATTGCTAGCTTGTAGCACTATTGGGATGTGGGGGATCTTTAAGAGGGAGGGCTTAGTGGAAGGAAGTCAGGTCACTGGGAACATGCCCTTAAAAGGGATCCTGGGACCCCGGCCCCTTCTTTTCTTCTCTCTGATTCCTGGCTGCCATGAGGTGAGCAGCTCTGTTCTACCATGCTCTCCCCACCATGATGTTTTGTCTCACCACAGGTCCCAGGGCAGTGGAGCCAGCTAATCAAGAACAGAAACCTCTGAGACTGAACCCAAATAAATCCTTCTTCCTTATAAGTTGCTTACCTCAGGTACTGTGTCACAGCAATCAAAAGTCATAATACAAACTACTCTTTGCTCCTTCCCCACCATCACCTTAGTCTATAATTATAGTGCAACAGCCATCAGAGACTTTATTTCAAACCCAATAAATCTGTCGTGAGAACTCCCACATCCTAATGCTTCAGGTTTGGAGGACAACATTCAAAGCCAGGCTAATTGTATCCATTAGTTCCCACCTGTGCCTGCTGCAGGGGAATCATAATCCGCTCAATGCACATTTCCAGGTCCCGAATATAGTCTCTTTCTGTCTGAAGAAGTTCTTCCACCACCTTGGCTCTCTTCTCCAACATCCTCTGCTCTGGGTTTTCAGTGGACACAGATCCAGAAGGAGCCACCAGGGAAGAAGACTGAGAGGAGAGGAGTGTCATTTCTAGAAGGAAAAGAGAACTGTTCAGAAGTTCTGAGTGTGAAAGCAGGACTCTTCTTCAACAGCTTAAGTTGGGAAGAAGCATTCCTTGAGAGTTAAATCTCTCTCTGTTGTTAGCCAATCATCAGGGAATCTGACTGAAGGTGTCAGTTCTAAATACAAATGGATGGAGAGCTTAGCAAGCCATGCCTGCAGAGAATTCTGATTGTGTAATACCATTTCTAGACTGTCCTAAAAAGGAGCCAGCTCACTCAGGAGGACAAACAGTATTTACAAGTTCTTTGTGAAAGAGTCTGGAAAGGGGTGCAGGCCTTATGGAGAACCATACTCAGCCAGGTACAATGGAGCACACCTGTAATCTCAGCGGCTCAGGAGGCTCAGACAAAAGATTTGCAAATTCAAGGTCAGCCTCCTCAATTTAGTGAGATCCTGTCTCAAAATAAAAAGGGGCTGGGGATGTGGCTTAATGGTTTAAGCATCCTTGGCTTCAATCCCTAGAATTTTTTTTTTAAATATTTATTTTTTTTAGTTTTCGGCGGACACAACATCTTGTTTGTATGTGGTGCTGAGGATCGAACCCGGGCCGCACGTACCGCTTGAGCCACATCCCCAGCCCCATCGAAAGGAAAGAAAGAAAGAAAGAAAGAAAAGAAAGAAAGAAAGAAAGAAACTGTTTTCACTTAATAAGCTGTAAGGCCTTCTCCCTGACCTCAGCAGTAAAAATACCAAGCTAGAAAATAAAAACATCAATACTGCACATTAAAAAGAATATTATAGGGAACATACAATGGCAACTTGCCAATGGGAAGATAAAAATTAGGAATCCTCCATCTGAGATCTGGTAATTGCTGGGCCTGTCATTTATCATTCACTATGATGGTGAATCAACATTAGCCAAAAGTTAGGGAAAAAACCTAACAACTTAGAGTCTCCCTGTTGAAACATCAATCAAGACTCAAAGCAGGTTTGGTTACTTCACATGTCCTAGAAGACAGACACAAAATATTCTAAACATGAAGTTCTTTGATGGTATTTTTAATTACAAGAACTTTTGCAGAACTAGACTGCATGATTCTAAAAATGTAAACAAATATGTACCTTGTTATTATCTCTTATAATTACCTGTTCCATAGAGGTACAGGATGAGTTATTTATGAAGATGGGACAGCATTTGTTCATTTAAAATGCACATCAACAACTAAAATAAACAACTGAAAAAATTCAACAGGGAAATGATCTCCACTTAGTTTCCTTCAAATTCCTTAAGACCCACTTAAACAACTGCAAATTTGGCAAGTAAATATAATTTTAAGTATGAATATGATTGTGAGAAGCAAAAACACAAGTGTTCCAACCACTATGGGAAGGTATAGTGTCTTTCACAGATTTTATTCTCAAGAAATCTTTCCTATTGACCCTTCTTTAAGGATTTAGGGATTCTAATATTTAAAAAAGAATGCAGCTAGATTCTGGTTTCTAAAATCCCTTCTCCACTAAAAGGAAACAGGGTTCTTTGGAAAAATGGCTAATTTCAGGGAGGGGGCAGGTAATGCTATAGAGGAGCCTGAAATATCCTGTGGCAGAAAGTAAGGAAGACGTGATGGAAGGGGCTCCCACTGCCCCAGGCTGGCACAATCTGAATATGAACCTAAATCAGCACAGCAACAGAATATAATCCACTGAACAGAATAAAAATCCACAGCAGGGCATACGCCTGTAATTCCAGTGGCTTGGGAGGCTAAGGTAGGAGGATCCCAAGTTCAAAGCCAGCCTCAACAACTCAGTAAGACCCTGTCTGTAGGTAAAATACTAAAAAGGGCTAGAAATGTGGCTCTGTGGTTAAGTGTTCCAGTACCAAAAAATAAAATAAATAAAAAATAATAATAAAAATCCATAATTTCACACTGATAAGTACATAAATAAATAGAGGAGAAAACAATCTTATGGTAGAATATCAATTCACAAACAGCAGAAGACATGATGGAGTTAGAAAATCACCATTTTGCAATCAGGAGGAAATTTGGTTCAGGTACAAAAAAACCACCAACAGACAGACAATTCTGGTGCTACTGGTGAGGCTGAATGATGATCAGAATATGTGCATAGTTTTTTAAATTGCTTATTACAATTTACATATTAATTATAAAAATGAAAAAAAAATAGAGAAATGGAAAATACTATGACCTAGTATTACCAAGAAGGGACAAACACACATGTGCTTCCACATCATGTCTAGAAGCGATACAATATCCCTTGTGCAGTATACCAGTCACAAATGCATGAATTGACACAAGTCTTGAAGAAACATCAAACTCAAATTGAGGATTTGTGTCCTTCAAAATGCAATGTCATTAAAGACAAATACCCCTGAGGAACAGTTCCCACAAAACAAGGCTAAGGAGATGACAGCTTAATATATCCTGACTGTATCTTGGATGCTGATTTTAAGAAAAAAGTCACTACAAAGGACACTACTAGGACAATGGTAGTGCACTCCTGCAATCCCAACAGCTTGGGAGACTGAAACAGGAGGATCGCAAAGTACAAGGCCAGCCTGGGCAACAGAGCAAGACCCTGTCTCAAAATGAATTTAAAAAGGCTGAGGATGTCCCTCTCAGTGATAGAGCATCTCTGGGTTCAATCCCCAGCATCACAAAGCAAACAAACAAAAAAAATGAATAATATGCTAATAATAACGACTACATCAGCTGAAAATTTCCTGAAGTGGCAAATCTACTGTGGCCATACAAGAGAGTGCCCATGTTCATACAAAATACACACCAATATGTACTGAAGCCTCATACTAAAGGCATAACACATTCAATTTATTCTCAAATAACTGTGAAGAAAAAAAAAGGGAAAGACAAAGAATTAAAAACAAAAACATGGCAAAATACTAAATACTGATGATTTTAAATAAAGAATATAAAGGAGACTTTGTATTATTGCAGTTTTCTGTAAACATGATATTCAAAACAAAGTTTAAACAGACATAATAGAAAGATATCTTTCTTGAAGAAATATCCTTTTAGTTTTTGGTAGAATAAATGGTATAATTTCAAGTGTAACTCTCATTTCATCACAATGCTAAAATATGGTTCTAAATTAATTGTGATGTAGACACTATTTTTACAGTGTTGCATTTATGAGGCAAGTGCTGTTTTCAGTGAGCTACACTCCTGGTGCCATAAAATTTATTCTTAATGGACTTGTTTTACATTTTCTTTGTAACTTCAAAGAAATAGGTTCTTGGTGCCAAATATGACAACTTTAGAAAAGAAATTCATTTTTAATGCAAGACTAGAAGGTTTTGGAAAGAGAGAGCATGTACTGAATTCCTACCACATATGAATTTACAGTCTATATCCCTGAGTTCATTTCATGTGCACACCAAAACTTTAAAGCAGGTATTATTACTCCTACTTAATAGATTTAAAAACCTAGGTTTTGAGAAGCTGACCAACACCACTGAGGTTATGCAGCCAGTAAATGGCAGTTTTGGAAATACGACCTAAATATATTTAAATCCAAATCCTATGTACTTAGTCACACGCCATTTTGCTTCCCTAGCATGGAATCTCCACTAGAAAAGGTCAGGGGCCTATATGCTTCAAATCTTAATAATTCCCTGGTCAATATTCTCTTCCAGGATTCAAAGTTCTATTAATTGTGGTAGTTGAAAGCACAAAGTACCATCAAGCACTTACTCATCAAGCAGAGTATACCCAGAGGGTTCAATTTCTTTTTTACATTAAAACCAAGAAAAAGAAATAACAAATCTTTCAAACTCTCAACAATTTTTTTTCAGATGTGATTTATAGGCTTTTGAACAACCTTTAAAAAACAAAACCCAAAACACTTTAGTGTGATTAAAAACCCTTATGTTTTTGCTAAATTGCAGTTTCCTAGGTATCACCCCTAAGAATCTCATTCAGCAAATCTGGGTGGGAACCACGGCGAATTTGCAAATTTAACAAAACCCCAGGTGTTTCAGAACAGACCAGTGATCTTCAGGCTCCATAAACCTATTAACACTCAGGAATTTTCAAATAGGAGGTCAAATAAAGTTATCTGGCTTGCAAAGACTCCAAATATAAAAAACGATTTTCCCCTTATTCCACATAATATGCTAATAAAAAAGTCTGATCTAAGAGTATAGTGAGCTGAGGATGTACCTCAGTAGTTAGGCACTTGCCTCCCATATGTGAGGCCCTGCGTTGGATCCCCAGCACACATGCACGCATACAAGAGTAAATAAATAAAATAGATATTTAGTTTCTGGGACAACCAAGTGAGGGGGAAATGGCCTTTTCCCTCAGTCTGCTACAGTCAGGATAGGCCTGAATCTTGGATTTTCCACTTCTTAGCTGGGGACCCCTGGAAATGTTCACCTCTGGGCCTCAATTTCCCCATCTGTAAAATGAAGAGAATAATACTGGCTTTGCAGAGTCACTAAGGGAATTAAATACGGTAATAAGTTTGTCCTTTCCCCAAGATGGGCCAGAATTTGCTGTGTGCACCATATTAAGATAAAATTCAGAGTAGAAAAATGCCACGTGCATAGACTCTAAATTTTTTCCCTCTAAGAACAATAACATCTGGGGATTTGCAAGCACATAGAGGAAACTGAGGCTCGGTATCAGATCTTGAATAAAATGCACAGACCAGCTCTCACTTTCTTCCTAGGATGGCCCTGCAGGTGTTAAGCAGCTGGGGCTGTCTGCATTAATTTACTTTCGTGAGAATTCCTTGGGTGGTAGCTCCCGCCTCAAGGCCATTCCTTCTCAAGTTAGTGGTTCATCCCCAGGTTCATTTCCCACAGGTCTAAGGAAGTGCGCTAACTCGCAGCTTCCCGAGGCTCTAACACACACTTCAAAGAGCAACCTCTTCCCTGCTCCAGGAATTTGGTTGCCTTCGGCAGGCAAAACCTCCGTCTCCCGACGAGCGAGGTCCCAGGCCGCCAGGACCTGGCTCAAGGTCCCCTCTCTTTGTGCCGGCTCCCA